TATGTTGGCTACATGGTTCAATGGCTTCTTCCCCATTTCCCCATCTGTGCACTTGAACTTTTACATTCTTCCCCCAACTGCTCCCTTCCTTTGCCTTAGCCTCCCCTGGGTGGTTTGAGCTGAAATTTCCTTTCATTTTGTTTTTCAAAGATGTCATCTTATCTATATTTTGACTTTCTTAACATTTATGGTTATTGATGGCAGTTTTCTTAGGATTTTTTTATTTTTAAGAGGTATCTTCTCTATCATGTCATGGAATTTTATGCAATAGGTATGGTATAGGTTTATGTGCTACATTGATCTAATCTCTCTCTCTTTTTTTTAGAGATTTATTTATCTATGCATTCAAGAGCTGGGGTGCAGACCAGAAATGCCATAGGTAAGAGGATTCACCAGAGACAGAGTAGGGAGCAGAACAGGCAGACTGACTGAAATAGAATACTGAGGGGAGCAGCAGGCCAGGCAGGAGAGGTCTGCTGCACTATGTTGGTCACCTCCCTGGCCTGGCCTGGGATTGAACTTGTGCTGCAGTGACTGTGGATAACATCATAGTTTCTGTGCTTAACCCCTTGTGCCACCATGGAGGCCCTGATCCAATCTCTATTAAATAGTTGTATATGTGGGGAAGCTCCCCGCAGCCTCTGCAGCACCGGGTTGATCCCCGGCCCCCAGCTGCTCCCTGGCCAAAGGCGGGTCCCACATGGCACACAGACCTCCCCTGCAGCCCGCTGCTCCCCTCAGCAGCGTGCTTCAGTCCCTCTGCCTGCTCTGCTCCCCGCTCTGACTCTGGTGAATTCTCACACCCTCCCGCGCTTCTGACTGTACCCAGTGCCTGTATAAATAAATAACTAAAATAAATAAATCTTAAAAAAAAAAAACTAGGTAAAAAAATAGTTATGTAAGTGGATGAGAGATGAAGAGAGTTTGCATTATTTTTCCTATTTCTCAGTTATTTTTTCCTCTCAGTGATGTAGAAAAAAGTTTAACTGAGCCTTTTTCACTTATATTTTTCTTCTTTATTCTCTGTATTCTGGATTAAAAAAGTACAAAGGAAGTATATATCTTCCCACTATACTTCCTGGTATTGCCTAGTGTCACTCAAAATGAACCTACTTTTCCTGAAATTGAAGATAAAATTGGTACCCATGAATAGCAGCTAATCTCAGGAATAGGACCAGACTGTATGGGAGTGTCATGGTTATAAGGGTTTCAGAAACCATCACACTAGTCATTTTACAGATACTTGTAATCAAGAATACTTCTTTTTTCATTTAGAGTATGGGATATATTATAATTTGCAGGTTCCAGTTGTAAATAACACAAATTTGGAGTTGGACTTAAGTTGGAATCCTGGTTCAATCATTCATTTACTTTCTATTACTACTTAATGTTTTGGAATCTCCACTTTTGTCCTTGTGAGCATTAAATGAGATGAAGAATGAGACATTCTTGGCATAGCAGCTGGCACATGGAAAATATTGAATAAACATTAAAGATGATGGTGAAGATGATGGTAGTGACCCTTGGAATTCTGCCCTTTATGGTCCCCTTTCCAATATCAATAGCCCTAGGAAAAAACATAAATTATTCAGAGGGATACTTGGAGAACTGCAAAATCAGCAAAAATTGTCTTCATATAAAATACATCTTTAAATTTAGCTTTTATTTAATCTTTGTGTCATTATGAGAAAAATAATTGATATTTTCTGCTTCAGTTTTCTTACCTATGAGGATAGTTTTAGAGGGTTGTCATGGATATCAATGAGAAAATACTATAAAGTGCTTGAAACACTGACTAGTACATGGGAGCTCAATAGCTGTTAGCTATATTGTTATTAACATTTATTATTGTTGGTATTTTATGTAAACTGTAGAACAGTCAGAAAATTACCCCTATTTCTATTTATCCTGATGATTTTTTTCTTTTAAAAGATTTATCTATTTATGCATACAAGAACTTGGGTACAGGCCAGAGTTGCGGGGTGAGGGAGGGTAGGGGTGAGAGGATTTACCAGAGACAGAGTAGGGAACAGAACAGGCAGATTTACTGAAATACACTGCTGAGGGGAGAAGCTGGTGAGACAGGAGAGGACTTCTGTCCCATGTGGGTAGTTCCCTGGCCAGCTGGGGATCAAACTAGAGCTCAGGCCAAAGAGGCTGCAGATAGCTTCACAGTGCTGTGCTTAATTAACCCCTTGCGCCACCAGGGAGGCCCCTGATGATATTTTTTCAAATAACAGCTGGGATACATGACTGAGTATTCAGTCAGTTTCATGATAATATTTTAAATTTGCGTTATTCTGGAAAAACTGAAACATATGTTATCATAACTAGAGAGAATACTTTTAATGACCAGAATAGTTGTGCCTACCAACTATAGCAGTTTCGTGCTGTGATTTTTCCTACCCGTTGCCATTAATTTCACTGTTTTTAAGTTATTGTTCTTTTAATTATGAGCAGAATGATTTATTATATAAACTTCAGATAACCCTGCTATATGGAAGAAATAGTGTGCTGTCTGGACTAGGGCCTGTAACCCAGAACCTGGCTTATTTATCATCTCTTTGAAACTACAGCCTTTTGGAAACACAGTTTTCAAACTGTGTTAGTAAGGATACAGATAATAATTCTTTTTTTTTTTTTTTTTTTATAGAGGCATGCTTTATTTGTTTGCTGGTTGGTTTGTTTGTTTTTGTTTATACATGCACTGGGTACAGTCAGAAGCGCGGGAGGGTGAGAGAATCCACCAGAGCCAGAGCGGGGAGCAGAGCAGGCAGAAGGACCGAAGTACACTGCTGAGGGGAGCAGCGGGCGGCAGGAGAGGTCTGCGCGCCATGTGGGACCCTCCTCCGGTGGCCGGGGAGCAGCCGGGGATCGAACCGGCGCCGCAGAGGCCGCGCGCAGCTTCGCAACCCAGCGCTCAACCGCTGCGCCACCGGGGAGGCCCCAGATAATAATTCTTTTTATAATAATTTTTATGTGCTGGTTACATATTTCTAGTGACATACTCTATTGACTATTTTATAATGGGAAGATAATTTTAGAAAAGTCTTTGGTTCATCAGCAATGCACTTGTAAATAACATTTGGGATTGGTTACTTTTACATTTAAGTTGTTCTAAACATTTTTTACAGATTATTTTTTGTTCCTCTACAGAGGATGATTCCCACCCATCTCCTTCCTTCCAACTCAGTTTACACCATATTTAGAGTCTATATTTTTGACCTTATGAACTAATGGTAGGTCAATACTCCCACTAAAGAAAGAACTAATAGAAGTATTTGATGACATTTTTCTTATAAACTTTATTGTGGTATAATTTATGTAAAATAAATTCCATATGTTCCAAGTGCATAATTTAGTTTTACAGTTGTACACTCTTGAAACCTCCACTGCAATCAAGACAAAAGATTTCCATCACCCTCTTGAGATTTTTGCTGCCCTTTTACAACCTATTCCACTCTCCACTCCAGGCTCCAGGCAATTACTGATTTGTTTTGTCACTAGGCGTTAGTTTGGACTTGATATAAATGGAGTTATACATTTGTATCTTCTGTATTTAATTGTAATACTTTGGATTCCTCAAACAATTCCAACGTTCTTCAGCCTTCCTGACACCAGCTCACCATTTCTTTTTTTTTTTTTTTGTGAATTTATTTAATGCAACTGAACTGCACCCTTAAAAAATAATAAATCTGGTAAAATTTTATGTTACTAGAATCACCAAAAACGGAGTAATAAAAATGTTTAGGTAGCATATTTTATTCAGAAAGATCTTTACAACTTTAGGTATTGAAAAATGTGTTCATAATCTTATTTATTAGAGTGACCTAGAAACAACCTAAGTGCCCAGCAGTGGGGGACTGAGCAGATGAACTCTATCCTGTAACTACCACCTAATTCCACAAACCTGTTTTAAACCATTTCTTAAGAATTGTGCAAGGCACTGAGAAGGCATGTAAGCAGCAGAAAAGGAGCCCCTCCTGCTCCGTGGTGTGAGCTGAAGAGAGCACAGCTACAGCGCATGCTACAGGCAAAGTGCACTTGAGACTGCATTCCATTTACTTGATTCACATGCCAGAGGAAATATTCCACCTTTGTTTGAATGTGGGCTATAGATATTTATTTACAATGCAAGTGTGGCCTTAAATGAAGAGGAAGTGTTATATGAAATCCCAAAAGGGGGTGGGGAGAAAGAACTCTTCTTGATTCCAAAGACCTGTTCTCTTGACCAAGAGTTCTTAAAATGTGGTGCAAGGACTAGTGGCATCAGTTTTCCCCAAGAACACATTAGAAAGAAATTGTATGGGGAATATAAAAATAAAATTTATTATTTAAAAAAAAAGAACTGTGGACTTGAGATGAGTTTACAGTGTAGTTAGGATTATTTCTTATTTATGAAATCTAATCTCAATGAATTGCATTAACCTTTGAGAAATAAACTATTGCATAGATGCTATATTATGCCAAAATATAGAGAATTTTAAAATATGGGCATAAAAAATTGTGGTTTAATATATAATTAGTGGTTTGATGTGTGAGCAGGTGATCCTGTGAGCAATGCTCATCAACATTTCATTAAATTTTCAGATGACTTGTTAAAAAAAAAAAAAGAAAAAGAAATGCCGATTGTCTGACCTCACTCTAGATTCACTGAATCTGAAAATCTGGGTGAGAGACTGTGTTGTTTCAGCAAGTTCTCCAGGTGATTCTGATCCACGTGCAGAGTGAGAACCACTGTGCCTGATCTCCTTCCAGGGGTGTGTGTGTGGGTGGTCGTTTTTAGGCTTCAGTGGGTACTTCCTGACTAAACGTGAACAATAGGGATAACGCTCCCGCCACTCCCGTCAACTCTCCTAGCACCTGCAACATCAGGTTCTTTCCTCCTGGGAGAGGCAACCAAAACCCGGCAGGTGGATTCCTACTTTGCGGGCCTGGGTGCCGGCTGGGCATGCGTAGTGGCGCGAGCGCAGCCTCCGGGCGAGCGCGGCCAGGGAGCCGCAGAGTCGCTCTGCGGGTGCCTTGATCGCGAGCGGGAGCTGCGGGCTGGAGCGCCGGACGGCTGCTGCAGGTACGGGGCCCCGACGTGGGCTTTTGCAAAGATTGGACTGATATAGGTGGGAAACAAAGCTTTTCTTCGTCGCTGGCGTGCCGCGGCTGCAGGAACGTCTCGCTCGCTGGGCGGGTCTCGGCTCCCGCCTGAGCTGTGCGGTGCCCGCCGACCTCCCGCGCGCTCCTGCCGGCCCTGGGCAGCCGGTGGTGCGGGCCGCTGTTCAGCCTTGTTATTTGTGGTGCTTACACAGTAAACCTAAAACTGAGTTATGCTTCTCTGCAGGAAGTTAGGCATTCTGTCAACTTTTCTATTTCCCTCTCTTTCTTTGAAACTTTGGGTGGCTGCTGTCGAGGCTTTCTGATTCAGCCAGTTTCCCTTGAATTCTGTAATGGGTTTATTTGCTTTTTTGGTCTTTTGCTGCGTAGAATCAGTAGGGCTGGAGTGAAATCGCATGCGTGGTTTTGCGTTTTGGTGCCTTTCCTGGAGCGGAGGGTGGGTAGGTGTGTGGGGTTTTTGGATGTAACGTTAAAAAAAAGTCAACTTTCAGTGATTTTCAGTGCCCGCACTCTTCACATTTCAGGTTCATTTTAAAGTAGACTTTCTAAAATGTAAGATTCCTCCCTTCCCTGTTATTTCAGGCTTCATTTGGCGCTAACAAAAGGAAGCAGTCTTACAGATGAGTAATGGAGCGCTCACTTTTCTTCCCTTTATTTACTCTGCCATATTTTACCGCTCATATAGAATATTTACCTTGGGGTTCCATCATTGGATACACTTTGTTGGAGGGTTAAGACTGTGCTGCACAAATTTCTTGGACAATGCATGAGCCATAAGCAAAAATTTTAGGCCATAGGGCACATATTGAACATTACTTAGGGAAAGTGTTACATTTATGCTGTGTGAGGCATATACGAAGAGTTAAGTTTAGGAAAAAGAATTTTAACTTCAGGAAGAGAAAACTGTATGGAAAGGAAATACAGATATCTGCCTTTCCCTCCACTCCCTATGATGAATGTTTTAATGACAGAAATAATATACACTTGGTTTAGTTTTAGACTGCAGAGACCTTTGAGGTCAGCCAGTTCAGTTGCTTCAGTTTACAAAGGAGAAAATTGAGACCAACCAGGTTAAATGACTTGCTGGGCCTAGCACAGCCCCTCCTTGGCAAAGTTGGGCCTGTTACCCAGGTTTTCTGTTTTCAGGGTTTGTTTTACCATCTCCGTGTTAATATTCTCCTCACAGTCTGGTTAGATTATTTTTTCCCTCTTCTTCCTCTTTATACTATACTGTGTAACTTGACTTATATAAAATTAATTATTCCTGCTACTAAACTTGCTAGGACCTGGTAAACTCCTTTCAAAAAGTGCCCTCTCACTTAAACCCCATCTAACGATTTGCTGGTCCTGAAACTGCTCTCTTCTCTGTCACATTGGTTTCTTGGCCCAGAATGTTTGATTGCCTCCCTCCCTGTTGGAGCAATGACCTTACAATGCAGAAAGGAAAATCTCTTCAACGAATGGTCAAGGGTGACCTCTTCCTAGAAGCTTTCCTTGATTGCTGAGGACAGAAAGTAGTCCTCCCTCTTCTGAACTTTCTAGCATTTATTATTATTGTATGTGCTGCTAGTATCTCCCTTGGCTGTAGTATCCTGAGTTGTTCTTTAGAACACGTCCCAATTTACCAGTGTGTGAACTCTTGGAGATTAAAGCTTATCGCTTAGACGCTCCACCCAACACTGAGCACAAAGTCTCTTTTCAGCCAATGTTTGTAGGAGAGAGGAAGTGAAGTATGGAAGTTTTGCTGAGATTTCCATGAGTGTCCTGTAGTATGCCAGAGGCTACCTTGGAGCTAGAGCAAGGTAATGACCAAATCAGACTAGCCTGATGAGGTAGTTCTCCTATTTTGACGAGAGATCATGGATCAGTTAGGATGTGCTGGTGATGGGTAAAATCATAATAGGGGAGAGTTGCCCCAGATCTGGAACTAAGTATATGACTTTCAGTGCAGAATGGAGGGCACAGATTTAAGAAAAGGCATAAAGGAAAAAGCATTTGGAGAAAGACTATATGTAGAGAAGTAAAGACATGTTGAAAAATACTTAGTTTTAGGGTAATGGGCTTGTAATGTTCTTTTTATCTTAAAGTACCACCAATTATTGATAAGCCCTTCCCCCCTGTTTCTTACAGTTATTGATTTTCTTATTTCCCATTCTAGATAGAAAACTCCTTTGGGGATGACCTTCAACCATTCACAATGCCAGGCATATTGCTTTAACAATAGTCATTGCATGAACAAACACATTCACAAATAAATGCACTCTGGCGTGGGCAGGGTGGACTTTTAGGATCTCAGCGTTAATAAGGTAGCATTTTATGCAAACCATCCCCTCATTACATGGAGGAAGAACTGAGATATGTTGAACTAAGCTAGTTAGTGATGTTGTCAGAGCCTGTACTCAATTTCCTCACTACTGGCTCCAAGATGATTTCATGAAGTCTTACTTTTTGAGGTTGTTGGCCCAAAGATTAATTTGAGTAGGTAGCAGACATTGCAGTTTGAAATGTTCTGTGTATCAAAAGCCCTCAGAGACAAGCCTACGGGGGGTGAGTGGGAGGGTGAAAGGGGAACTTTGTGGTCAATAGGAGGATGTCTGTGTCGTTGGAACAGATGAGACACTAAGGTGACTGGCCAGTTCAAGATTGAGTGCTCAGAGTGGGGATGGGTGAGGGTGGCACTGGGAACCTGAACGTGAGGAGGAGAAGTCTGGAAAGGCCATGGGAGCTTGTCAGGGGCAGAGACACACCTGGGTGTGCCTGCAGTCTATGGACTGGGAGTATTTGGGAGAGATATTCTGCACTATGTGGAGGGGCTGAGTGATGGCCTTGGAGAGGCTAGTGTTTATGACCCAGAAACATGGAGGTGAGAGAGAGAAGGAGAGAGAGAGTGAATGAGAATATGAGTATTGTGATCAGGCTGGCAAAGACAGAGGCAGTGCTTCTGAACCAAAATCCCTGCTCAGGAGGTGGGATACTTGTTTACTTGGAACAGATGTTTCAAATAGTCATTTTGCAAATCAAAATACAGCCATTCCATGGAGCTGCTTACAGTGTTGGGGGAGCTGTTGGCTGGTGCATCCTTCCCATTGACATTTACACTGTGGCTGATCACCGTGTTAAATTGGCAAAGATGCTCGTTCCCTTAAAAGTGAGCAAAGAGAGCAGTTGAAGAAATAGAGCATGGGAGATGATTACCAGGAGAGAAGGAAATGGTTGACCTGGTACCATTTTTAAAAAATCCTTTTTTATCATGCCATTAAGTCAAACTGATTGGACAGTCAAATGCAAAAATCAGGTGGCATGTTGAAGTTAATGTCTTGTCATTTAAAAATGCCCAAATATTAAATTCTATTAAGTTGTATATCACAGTTCTCTATGAAATGACTTGATAACTTTTTCAAAATAATAATAGTAATATTAGTAATATTTTTATATAGGTTGTTTTCCATCGACCAGATACTTAATGCTTTACAAACAATATGTCATTTGATTTTTGCAACCATCCTGTGAAATGAGTACAATTATTATTTCTGTTTTATAATCAGGAGAATTGATAAAAATCACATTTCTGAGGTCACACAGTTGACAGATGACTGAGCTAAGAGCTTTGATCCAGGCCTGCCTAACTCCAATCACTAAGAGCTCAAATAACTTAAATATCTTAAGAAAATTCAAAGCTTTATCTGTGACAAATCTAACAGATGCCTAGAATGGCCACAGATTTTAGCTGGTGCAACTCCCAACAGTCAGTGAACCAGACTTAATCTGAGAAACAAAAGAACACACAGTGATGAATCTTTAAAAAAAATATTGTTTATTGCCTTTTTATGCCTGATGCAATCTTGGAGGCAGAGATAGTCCCTTTCTCTGGGTGCACTGTTCTGCTTCCACCTTCTCTCAGGGTGATGGGGCTAGGGAGTTGGTTGTGATCTAGAGGGTGACTCTGGAGTTAGGGAATTGGGAAACTCAACTGATACATGAGGCTAAGGACTCGCAGTGACCACTTTGTAAGGACAATTTTCCCCAGGAGCAGCAGGACCATTCCACTTCTGGAATGTCTTGGAGCCTGATCTTTAACCCTGGTCTCAGGCTTCTGAGCTGTGGTGAAATTCCCCAGTAAGAATCCCAGACTGAACACGTTCCCTAAGGATCCTCCAGATCAAAGGATCCTGCCAGTGATCATGAAGGTAAGCATCTACATGAGCTTGCTGCTATTAGAGGTGGGTATAGAGACCACAGGGAAGGTTCCGGGTCCAACACAATTTACAAGTTGGCCTGGCAGACCCCAAATTTGAACAGCTGATTTGACCATGAGAAAATCCACCTCCCACGAACCTAATAATGCTCTGTCTGACTTCCACCCATTGCTCGTTTTAAAGTCCAAGGACTTATAATATCACCTAGCTCTTTCCCTGAACAAAGATCCAAATCAACTTTAATTTGACTGATGATGAAAATCAGGAAGAAAGAGAAAGAGGTATATATGCTACTTATATGCTTATTGGTTATAGGATAGTTATACAATTTCCATGGCTGGAAATTTTGCTGACATATTAGATCACATGGGATGTGAGACTTTGTCAACTTTTTGATCATCTTATTTCTTTTTCAGCACTGCTTTGTCTGAAGTTGCTTATTTGCCTTTTTTGGGGTGAGAAACATGTAGCATGGCTTCTGTAAAAGCCAGTTGCTTTGTAGTAATATTTGAGCAATGGGTGAGGGTTAGAGTGGTGCTTAAGAGTTTTTCTCTCATTTACAACTTTTGTTTCATCAGAAAATGTTTTTATTTTCTAGGAGAGTTACAGATTGTTATTTCATAAAAATCCAGTTGTAAGGGGAAGTTTAGATCTTACAATAAGTTAAATTTTTGGACCTTTTTTTTTAAATCAAAATAACAGGTTTATAACCTTACATAGGCTTTGGTGTGCATCATTATGTCAGTATTTGTGTATAGTACATTAT